GCTGCCCGGGGCGAAGCGCGGCTCCTCCAGCCCCAGGACTGGTCCTGCCCCATCGCGGTGCCCGCGCCGCCCCCTGGGCACGAGGGGCTGGGAATGAGCGCCCTGAAACCAGTCAGGAACGCATTCAGTGCTGGGAATGCTGCGCTTCAGGGGAAAAAAAGCAAGTCTGAGGTGGCTTAGACTGGATACCCAAAATTAATAGACATATTTGACCTTAATCTGTCTTCCTGGACAAGTTTAATTATAGCAATTTCTTAACTTCAGCTCAAGGTCTTGTTTCAGAAATGTTAGTGTTCTCTGAATGTGTGGGGTTTTGTATTTAATATCACCGTGTTTTCTAAGGAAAGGCAAAAATCTGCGAAAATTGACTGGACTGGAATCACCCAGGACTGTAGAGATGCCTGTGATTAATTTCTCTTTCTAAATAAATTAATGTTTCTGAGATGAGATCGAACTGGGGGTGAGGAGGAAGAAATTAGAGATACTATTTTAGAGCAAAATGTAAAATGGAATTTATTTTGGAATGGTTTTATTCCCTTTGTGCTCACAGCCTGTCCTGGCAGGAATCTTTCAATGTAAACCACTTGGCATGAGCTGATGATTAAAACCTGATGATGTACGTGTTGATTTACACCAACTGGAGTCATAGCATTTGCTTTAGCCTTTATTTTTTTGTCTTCTCTAACTTAAACAAAGATGTAAAGGTTGTAATCTCACTGTGTAATTTGAAATATAAATATTGGAAAATGCAGGATGTGCTACCCTGCAGTGGGGTGTGGGTAGCAGTGGTGGCTCCTGTTCAGTGTCACTGTGTGGGCACTGCAGCTTTGGAGTTTTCCTCACCTCGGTCCTGGCAGCAGCATTTGGGTGCAGCTGTGGGCACTGCCACCCACAGAACTGCACAAAACTCATGGCTGCCAGGAATAGAGGCTTGAGCTCAACTCTGGTTTTCTTACTTGTGTAAAAATGCATGTCTGATTTTCTACAAGTTTTAAAAGAGATGTTTTCTCTCTTGCAGAATAGATAGGATTTTACTATGTTTTACTTTTTCTCTGTTTACAAGAAAAAGCTGAAAATGCAAAATTTTAGACATGAGCAGCAATTTTGCCTCTCTATTTTCATAGATTTGACACCTTTTCTATGAAATAATTTCAAGTTTTCTGTTAAAATGGAAAGAAACCATCAATGCCTTAGATTGAAGCCTCTAAGAAAGCAGTTTTGAGCCATGCTGATGGCATAGAAAAACTCCTGGGTTATATAAATAAAAAAAAAAATTGTTTTCCTCTTTCTTTGCATGGGGCTGGTTTGTGAGTGGGATTCTAACAGAGCAGACAGACTCATTGCTTGAGTGCACTTACTTTAGTTCCACATCTTCCCCAACTCCAGGAACTTGAACTTGTCATTATCAGCCCCAGAAGGTCAATGCATTACCAGGGTAGCAGCTCTTTCATGTGGCCTTTCTGAGGAGGGAAAAACCAGCTTTTAATCTTGGCTTTTATAAAACACTCTGTGTACTGGATACATCCTAACTTGTCATTTCCTCGTGTGTTTTAGTGCTGGGGAGATGTGGAGATGCTTTGTGGTGCCACACAGATACACACGTCTGCAAAAGGCCTAATCTGAAGTGAATCTTCTATAAATAATAAACAACAAATAGGCTCCTTTTAGTTATATTAGCCCCAAAATAGGTCATGTACATTTGTTTTAAATGCAAACTTAACAATAAAGTAAATTCCCTAGGTGGAAAATTTGATGTGTTTGTGCAAATTTTCTGGACGTAGTACAAAAAAAAGCCAGCACCTATATTTTACCATTTAAAATATTTATACATTGTCTCTTCAAGTCCTATGTTTGAAATACTGTTTATAATAAACCCCCTAGGAGAGAACTAATAGTCACAGGTAAACACTTGCCATTTGTTACTTAAACACAAAGTAATCTTTAACTTTTTAAAGAGAAACTTAGTGTTTACTATTGCTTCCAGAAAAGTTGTTGCCTTTGTAGCTTCCTGCCTCCAAATATTCTCATTTCTCACCTGGTGCTCTGCAGGGTCTTGGGGTTCTGTGGCTTCTCGAAGGAGGTGATGGAGATGGAGCCTCGTGTCCCCAGGCTTTGTCCCTCTGGGCCTCCACTGGAAATATTCATATTCTTTTCAAATAAAGGCTGCAAAGGCTGCCTGGGCCATTTTGTTAGTGCTCCCTCAAATATAAAACCTAATATGTTCAATTCTGTGTAACTGATGAAAGAAGGAATATCTGAGGAATGGGCAATTTACTGTGGCTGGGATTAAAATGGCCCTGACACCTGCTGTAATGTTCATACTATTTCTGCCTAATACAGCTGTGTTTGTGTTTTAATTGCCATCTCTAAGTGTTTGTATAAAACAAATAATATCCATAGGATGTCTCACGGTAGAACTGGACCAAGGTAAAATGCTAAAAGCTGCAGTTTTAGCCACATTTTTCAGCTTGTGTTGCTCTGTGGAGCAAGGCAGGATCTGAAGTTGTGGTGTCAGCCATTGTCTCACACATAATTTCTCTGTCCCTATTCATTTTCATCCCTGGGATGCATTGTAAAAGTGTAAATCCATCACTAGATAATTTCCAGTTCCATTATTTACCAAAATGAATAGTTAAGCAAGTCATTGTTATTAGTGGGATGCTATTGTTGTTTCACACAGATAGGGCCTGCCAAGGCCTTGAGTGATGTGCACTTGAGTGTTCTTTCAAGATCCTTGTACCTGTTTCATTTGGGAGGAGTTTCACTCATGTAAAATCAAACAGAAACAATTTTAGTAGCCTCTGAAAAGAGAAGAAGGGAAAATGGATATTAATGAACTATTTAATATTCTGCTATGGCAGAGATGCAGTGATTTTGCTGTTGACACTTTTGCATGGAATTAAAGAGATCTGGTGGTTGTTTTACTCGTCTGTCTTTGTTCCTGAAAGACTTTTCAGTGTCATCAGATTTGGTTTTGTAACCTGAGAGAGATTTTACAGACATGCAGACAAGAAAAAAAAAGCACTTCTTTTTCATGAAATTCATTGGTATTCAAAACATGGTCCTTTGATGAATTAGAAATTTTGGCTAAAGCTTTAATGAGATTTTTATTTCCTGAACTTGTGTTGGAGAACGTGTGAGCTGCACGATTGCCAGTTGTGAATAAGACTGGCTTGCTTGTTCTGCTGAGGAGTATTTCTGGCTGTTGTTTATTGCTCAATACTCTATTGATTGGTGAGCTGAGGAGTTCATGATGAAGCGGAACAGTTTAGAGCTATGGATCTTTACTTTGTGATGTGTAATGGGTGGGAGCCTTTGGCTCCTGGGGGCAGGGGAGCCCGGGGAGCTGTGCCAGAGGAGCCTGCAGCCCTGGCTGTCCCTGTCCCTGTGGTGTGTGTGTCCCCCCTGTCCTGTGTCACCCTGTCCCGTGTCACCCCTGCTGAGCACAGCAGGGCAGTGCTGCAGGTGCCCTGGAGCTCCTGGCTTTAGGCTGAGCCTGGGCTCTGCCTTGGGCCTGACTGGTGCTCTGGGCTGGGAGCACAGCCTGCACACTCACATACTGCTGCACAAATGGAGCTAGATAACCCTTGGTGTTTATTCATGGGTAGTAGAATCTTTCCTCGTGTGGGTGGTTACTGGGGACAAGAAATTTGGGAAGCTTTCCAGAAGCTGTCATTGAATGGTCTCAGATTTTATAACATTCCTTGTGTTCCTGTGCTATGCAAAGCACAGAAATCCTCCTGACTCAAGAACATGTGAGTGCTGTGACTTACCACACTTTGATGCACTCACATGTGTGCCAGCATGTTAAAAGTGTTAGGAATAGTCAGGTAATCATTGTACCTTGTCTTCTAATTTACTTTAAATCAAAGTTTTTTTTTCCCAGCACTTACAGAAATGTTTTGGTGTTGACTGAAAAGAAGGATGTTATGGACGATTTTTTGTTAGTCATATGGACAAGAAGAAATTCTGTTTGTTCACATCCAACCCCAGCTAAATGTGTGTTTTCCATTTCTTTGTGCCAGCTCCTTTCTGGATTTATCCTGAACGAGGAGTTACTGAATTAACGCCCAGGCAATGAGTGTCCTGTGTGAGATGTGTGCAGAAGTCCTTCATAAATGGTGAGTCAACCTCCAGCTTTGGATTTCCATGCTGAGGTTTTAGCTTTATTTCAATGAGTTTTAGGTCAAAGCTGTCTGATTTGCAGCTCTCAGTCTGGAGATGTGTGAATTGTGGCTGCAGTGTGAGTTGAAGTCTTTGCATGTAGGTTATGGAATTCTGTTTTTTCAGAACTTATCTCTATATTTGATTATTGAAGGCTTGTTCTAGAAATAAATGCAGCAATGATTGTGATCTTTATGATTTTATCTGGGGAGCTGCAGTAGTCAATGATCTGTCTGTGTGGATGGCTCCAGAATATGGAGGTCTGAACAAGTGGTTTTGGGAAGAGAAGGTTTTGTCCACACTCTTACACTGTCCTGGAAGAGGAGTTTCTGAAAATGTGATCTAAATGCAAATCTGTGTTTAAAAATCCTGCAATGCCTGTGTGCTAATGCTGGCTGCCTGCTATGGATGTTTGGGGTGAGTTTGCTGATGATTTAATCAGTGTAATTTTATTTTGATGTGTTCAAATACAAGATGCAATATTATTTGAGAGCACAAGATCTTTCTCTTCATTATCTAGTGCTAAGTGTTGCTTTGCTTATGGCTGTCTACTTGTGTGTTCACTTTTGGCCAAAATAACCTGAACTGGAGGGGGCTGGGCAAGAAGGTGCTTGTAGACAGGTTTGTGGAATCACTGCAGTAAGTTTTAAATGATGTATGAAATGAAAAATTCCTGTCTGATGCACAGGGCGAGCAGAGCCATTGATGTCTGTGAAATCGCTGCTGCAGAGGCTCTTTGAGAGACTCACAGGGTGCTTTGGGCTGGGAGGGACCTCAAAAATCATCTTGTTCCACCCTCTGCCATGGTCTGGAACACCTTCCCCTAGACCAGGTTGTTCAAGTTTTTCTAATAATATTTCAGAAATGCCAACTTCTATGTTTTTTTATAAAACTCTTCTGCTTTTGAAAGGCAGAAGTCTTTCACAACAACAAAATTCATTAGAAAAATCTTTCAAGATGGTGCATCAATAAATATCCTAAGGCAGTTTTCTGGGTTTGTGTGGGTTTCTGAGCCTGAGCAGCACTACTTTACAGAATGCCATGTGGGTGTGAGGATGCTTTGAACTGTCCTAAAGTGAGAATTTTAAAAATTGAATGATGGGATTCAAGATTAGGAGTCCAGTGGTTGGTTTGAGAGGCAGAGTGGTTTAGGAGCTGGAGTAGAGTGAGGGATGGGTTTGCAGGGCTGATGCAGAGCAGCAGCTCCAGCACACACAGCATTCTCCTTCTCCAGCTCAGCACCCAAACTGCCCTGCATTTCAGCATGTGGCTCCTGTAGGGAAAAACGAGGTGGTTTCAGGTCTAACAGGCACACAAGGATCCAAAGGAACATTATCCTGGCTGCTCAAACATCTGCATTTCTTGGCACTCGAGTGTGCTACACCTGTGCCAGTCTGCAGGGGTAGTCTGGGGGGTTTCAGGTGTGTGAGGTGTGTGTGCACAGGTAACTGCACACACTTGTGCATTTTCGTGTTGTAGATGTTCTGGAAGTGCCCTTTCAGCAGCCTTTCTGTGTAGTCTTTGCATATTTAAGTCTCCAAGTCTCTTATCAGAGAATTTTTGTTTTTAAGTTGCTGGTAGTCAGGATTTTTTACGTTATTATTGAAAACAATACTTGAAGAGAAATCGTTTTTATATTGTGCCATCAGGTTCTTTAGAAAGGAGAACAGAGTGTCTGAAGAAATTGAAAACATTTTCATAGATCCTGCTCTTTTTTTTTTTTTTGGCATATTCACGTTGTGTTTCTGCTCTCTAAAAGCACAGACTTCCTTCCAGCTCTGCTGTTGTGCTGTGCTGATGCAAGTGAGCGTTTCAGAGGTTAGAAAGTGAAAAGAGAACAGCACACCGATGGCTTTCAAAGCCAGCAGTTGATGTGCTTGTTGTCATGATGATAGTTTGTATTGCCCTTTGCTTAGTTCCTCAGCATTGTTTCCTTCATTCAGTATCTGGGCTTTCTGAATTGCTGCCTGCTCCATGCAGTTGTTTCCCTGCTGGTGAGCTGTCCTGTCCGAGCAGAAGTGCAGGAGCAGGGATGTGATGAGCAAAGCCCTGAACTCCCTCGTGCTGGTTGTGCTCTCACCACCCCAGCTCCTCCTCCTGCCCTCCTGGCTCCAGGTGTCCCCCAGGTGTCCCAGTGTGTCCCCCCCAGGTGTCCCAGCGAGTTGTGTGTGTCCAGGCTTGGCCTGGGGGAGCCTTGCAGAAGTGGCCTCTGGGATAGGGGTGTTTGTTAAAATGTTAATTCATGTTTAGTTCTTCTGAGCAGCTTTGTTCCAGGCCATAGACATCTTCTGGCCTTGCAGTTGAAAAAGAAGCTGTTACCTTTAACATCATCTACTGTAGACAGTGTTTTGTATGTGTTATTACAAATATTAATTAGACTTTGTACTTGAAATGGAGGGGTTTGGGATGTATATACCCATGGAACAAGGGAAATGAGTTCTGTGATATTTGCAGGGCAATTATGTAGTAGACCATGATAAAATAAGCAATACCATGAATAAATCAGATAGCCAAACTTTTTTGTTTTTTACTGAAATTGTTTGACACAGTACAGGACTCTGATTACTGCAAAGCATTTAATACTGAATCTGAACAGGTTTTTGACCAAATTTGGGTGTGGATCTCAGTCTCTGATCCACAGGAAAGAGCAGCAAGCCTGTCCTTCCTTGGGTCCTGCAGAGCAGCTGGTGCTGTCAGCCCCTGGGAAAAGCTTTTTGCAGCACATTGTGTGTAAGAAGTGTTTGTGTGCCCAAAGTGAATTTATCAGGCTGCGTGGAAGTTACTTGCTCTTCAAAGATCAACCCTCCTCTTTTATGCATCTTTTTTGTAACTCTTCTCTATAAGTTACCTGGGGGCTCCTGGAACTGGGCTGAAGACCCAGTGCCAGCAGATGCAGTTAATGGGGCAGGAATTTGGGATGCTAAATAGGAAGAACTGGATGACTGTGATGGAGTGATGAAAATCAGGTGAAATCTGTCAGATTCGAGTAGGAATGGCTTTTCTGCTGCCTGGAAGGGGGGGTGTTTTGTCGGGAGGAGGGGCCAGGAGCTGACGGAGGTACGACTGTGCCACCAACACGGGGTGTTTGTGAAAAAATCAAGTGTCTCTCTCAGACATGAGAAGGAAAAGGTAATTCCAGAGAGGTTTGCAAAATACTGCTGCTGTTGTAACAGCACCTGGCAGGAGCTCATCTATTTACAGAGCAGAAATGTGAAATCAGGACTGTCTCAGTCAGGGAACAGTGCAGGGATCTCTGGATCTCATCATTACTCAGGGCTGGAACAATTAGCACTGAGTCAGGACTTTGTTTTTCTTTAACAAGGAAAGGACGATGGGTCATTTCTCCTGATGGTGCTCCTGAATGCATTTGAGATAAATGATTTGGTAATCTGACAATTTGGAAGAATAACATGAAGTGTAAGATTACTTTTATTTTTTTCCCAACTGAAATATGTTAGAGCCTCTATGACACTGGTAGCAGGTGAAAGAAGAAAACAGTTCTTGAACCCTTTGCTAAATTGATATACTAATCAGAGTGCCTTTTCCAGAAAAGAAAGAAGAGCCCCATTTTGCCTGGACTCTATCTTTGCTATTTTCCTTTTTCAGAAATAGAAGATTAGGAGGTGTCTGCACCGATGTGATAAAACCTTCCTGTGCAATTGTATTGTATTTTCGCCTTGAGTTGCTGGAGAAATGAAGTTGTTGGCTTTCAGTGCTGCTTTGTTTTTGACCCCTTTTTGTGAATTCTCTGAGGAAAGAAACATATTCCCATCTTTTATAGTAATCAAATTTATCTGGCATCTCTCAGCCTCTTGCATTACTTATGCTACAGTTGACCAGCCTTGGGAAGGGTTTAGCAGGTTTATTTATTTATTGTTCTAAAGTGAAGGTTTTTGACTTGAGGTCCCCACATAGTCCATGGGGATTTGAAGAGAAAAAATGCAAGTGCTTTCTGCCATTATTCTGATACAGTTATTTTCTGTGCAACTGTTTTAAAGATACCCCACAGTACCTGAAACATAAACAAAGCCCCCCATTAGTCCAAAACCCCAAGAAACACTGAGAGAGGAAAAAACTTGATTATCTTAGTTGTCTTGGAAATTCAACTTCATCAACTTTCTTTTGCATCCTCTGTTTCTCTTGCTGTTTTTTCATCAATTTATTTCTATGATTGAGAAAGCTAAAGGTAGATTATAAGGGAAATATGGGGTATCATCAATTATTTTGATTTCAAATATGATTTATTTGACTAACAGCCTTAAAAGCTGGGACTGATTTAATTTGGTTTTATGCTGGTGAAATTCACAGAAGGCTGGCCTGGCCATCTTCCTTGTCCTCTGCTTTTTAAGTCCCACACAGTATTTCCCCTCTGCTTCTTTGCTTTTATGGAGTTTTTCTTTGAGGAGCCAACAATGATAGTGGGAAAATGTTCATATTACACTTCAGATGTATATACCCGTGTAGAAGGATTTTTTGTTGCAGGAGAAAAATCAAATCCTTGTCACCTAAACTGCTAATTATGTTTGATAAATGTATGGTATATGTTTAATGCAAAGAGAATTTAAGAAATAATACACCTTGTGTAATTACAGCGACCGAGCTACTTCCATCAATCTAATTTTTCTGATTCAGATTCATTTGCATTGCATTATTTTTATTAAATGAGCTTTCAGTGGAGCCCTGCTCTCTGTCAAGAAGAAGAATCAAACACTGCAATATTTCAGCTGCATCAGTCGGGTTTGCAGTGAGAGCACGGGCCCTGTGCCCAGCAGGGCACATTTTCTCCCATCTGATAGTCAGTGAAAACCAGCCTCCCCCATTCTCCCCATCCCATTTCCAAGCTCCCAATTAAAAGAATGATAATTTGGAACTCCATTTCTAGTCACAATACTGTAAACATGTGGTGTATGTAGTTGTAGTTATTATTGAACATGAATATAAACTTAAGTTAGTTTAT